TAATCAAAGTGACTGTTAGTGTACATAAAGTGACCATGTAACAATAACACTGATATGTCCATAAAGTGACAGAGTGAATGTGATAACACTGTATGCTGTCACTGAAAAGTGACTAACAGTGCTTATAAAGTGACAATTGCGATAAATACTAAATAATAAAATGTCCACAAAGTGATAAGTAGGAGATCCGATATTATGATTTCAGAGTCGGTGATCCACACACTATATTCAATGGTATGGTGATGTGCCAGGAAAGTAGTAGAATTACGCACTCACTAGATGCGCAATTAAATCACGCATTTATAGATATATACTCTCTCTGTGGTCAGCCGGAGGTACCTTTAAGGATATTCACAGCCTGGTCTGGAGTCCCCCTCTCTGTGTCATCCGCAGTACCTCTGCCGTGCTCCTTATAAAGCTCTGCTCCTGACAGCTCCCTTTCCAACATCCTTACACCACAGTCACTTTCCTATTCGTGCTTTTTAGTCGACTTTTGGAATTGTTTGGCTCGGGAATTTCGTATACTTTTTTTTAAAACGCAAGTCATTCGCTGGATTACTCGCCACTGTATTGAAAATCATATCTTCGCCACTGATGGCTTGTGCTGTATCAGACTCATTCTCTAATTCCACAAGCATTTTTAACATTCTGTAATATGTTTTCTTGAAATCACGCCAATCTTTTGATAGACCTCCTAAAAGGGCTTGGGGGGGATCCTGACGAAGCAGTGGTAGCAAAACTTATTGATCCTGAATGCCCTCCTTTATTCATCATCAGAACAGATATTTCTTCATGTTTCATACAAACCAGCACTTAATATGTCCGATGATATATTGTATACTGCTCTAAGGTTGATGTTTTTAACATGGTAGTGTTATTTATAACATTTTTGATCATTTTTTTAATCTACTAATCTGTGGTTATGCACTTAATTTCAGCACATTTAAAGTCCCTTTATTACAATCCACTCTTTACCTTGTTTGGAAGAGGAAAAATTTGTTTATGTTAGACAGGGACGGTGCCTGACTATAATTTAGACTTCATCCACATACATATTTGTGATGGCTAACTTCCTTGTTCTCTCCCACTGGCCAGGGATAAGAGTAGTTGTCTTTTGCTGTTGGCATTTAATTTTGTATCATTGTAAGTTTTTGTTTGACCTAGTACCCCTTCGCTCTAGCTTGAAGGTTCGGCTAATTTATTGGGTGATCCCAACCTTTCATCAGCTTTGAAAGTGATTCTCCAGGGGTGCTATGAGGAGTAGACGTGTGCAGGTATGTCTTTAGGCCATTTTTAAACGATAAGTTCACCTTTCGTAACATATTCAGTGTTCAGACCGGTCCCCACTTTGACAGCTTACAGGGGATCTTCTCCCCCCTAGATAGCTGTGAAATAAAAAAAACAAGGTCGCGTGGGGCTCCGCCCAGCCATGCCCTTAATGGCTGTTAGCTTTTAGTCTTCAATTAACTACCACAGTGCTGTGAAGCACTGTGGTAGTTTATTTATTCTTCCTGTCAATATATCCACTTGCACGTACATCCCTGACCGATCTGCAAGAGACTTGCATGGCCCCAGTGATCTGCTGATCACTGGTGCAATACTTTATAGGCTCCTGCAGACAAAAATAATAAATAAAAAATGTGCATTTATTATTTTTTACTAAAAGGTGAACTTATCCTTTATTGTCTGGTTAAAGAATAAGTTCACCTTTTGAAAAAAAATAATTAAAGCACAGCATTTGCATTTATAATTTCTTTTTCTAAGGCACCTGTAGAGCATTGCACTCGCAATCTCAGGCTCCTGAAGACTCTCAGAATAGCTGTCTGCTCATACCTTGTACTGGCAGGCAGTTACCTGAAAGCAGGACAATCAATGGACTACTAGAGCACTCACCAGTACTCTCATAGTTCATCGAGAACTACAAGGCGTCAGCTGCAATGGCTGATGGTACTTGTAGGCATTCATTCACAGGAAACAGTGAATAAATGACGCAGCCATGTGGGTGGAGTGCCGTACAGCTGTGTTATTTTCAAATTGTGACAGCAGGTGGCCGCTGAAGATCCCCTGCCTGCTGTCAAAGGGATGGAGGATCAGGGAGTAGAGGCTGCAGATGCTGGAACAGTTACATGTGCCACCCTAAAAACAAGTGGTATATGTAACTTATCCTTTAAAATGTTCCACACATCCATTGGCCTGTGGGTGGTATTGTAGTGTTAACTGTGATTTATTCCCTTTGATTTAAGGTAAAATCTTTAGAAATAAATTGTGGACTGTTGTCGGTAATGATTTCTAGTCCCATGTTGGCAGCTACTGCGACTGGACAGGGCTGGATGGTGCATTGAGTGGTACAATTGTTTAGGAAAGTATGTGCCCAGGAACAAATGCCTGCAATACACACAGCTTGCATTCCAGGCATTTGTCCCTCGGCGCATACAGCCCTAAGTGTTACCACCACTCAGTGCACCATCCAGCCCTGTCCAGCCGCATCAGCTGCCAACATGGGACTAGAAATCATTATCAACAACAGTCTACAATTTATTTCTAAATTGTATCATCTAGGTACAGCAGATTTAAGCCTCTTAAAGTTTTACAGGCTATGGGCAGCTGGGGTGGATGGTGCACCTGTGTCTTCTGCCTGTACCAAAACACTGGGATCTCAAACACCAGAGCTAAATGCCCAGTATACACGAGACCAAAATGACCTTCATGAACCATTCTTAAAATAGATTGCCTCAGTGCAGCTGGAATTACTGCCCTGTGTCCATGTAACATTCAAATGGTGCTCCAAGGTAACAACTTGCTTGGTAGTGTGGCTAAAGATGTCCTCGAGGGGTGGATGGCTATTCACCATGTATGTAGGTCAATATACCTCTTGAGTCACTGGATCACGCAAAGATTCAGTAACCAGATCCTGTGGTGTAACAGTGATGACTGGTGAACTGGATATTACAAACGGTTGCTCTACTTCTTGGTCTTCCTTTAGATTGAAGACAACACAGAATAAATAATCTGCCATTTCATTCAACTTTCCTGGCCTAGAGCAAATGCCAAACTTGTACTGTGACAGTCTGACCATCCACGTATACAAAGAGGATGGTGGTCAGACCCGGACATAATGGAAGTTACAACTTGCTGATCAATTCTCAGAGTAAACTTTCTACTATATAAGGAAGAAAAAAAAAAGAAGATGCCACCATCCACATGCCCATATACAGGCCAATTCCTCAAATTCTCCTACAGAATAATATTGCTCAGCTGAGAAAAGGGCTTGAGAAGCATAAGTGGCAGGGTGTTCTTTTCCTTGGTGAAATTGTGATAAAATTGCATCCAAAGCAAAAGGGGAAATATCACAAAAGACAAACGTTGGTGCATTCGGTGAAAAACAGGCAAATGATGCAGATGCTATATAGTGTTTTGGGGCATGTAAAGCCTTGGAGCAGGCTTGTGTCCACTGCCATTCTGCATCCTTTTTAAGTAAGGCACACAAAGATGTTGTGATTTCAACATAGTCAGCTACAAAGCTTAAAAAATAGTTTGTGAATCCTAGAAATGAAGTAGTTTTATATTTTGAATCAGATAATTCATCTATAGCAGGGATCTCCAAACTTTCTTAACAAAAGGGCCAGTTTACGGTCGTTCAGAATTTAGGGAAGCCGGACTGTGCCCAGTGGGAATAAACAATGCCCCATCTTTGGCATTAGGGAAGAAATACTGCCCCGTTGCTGGTGTCAGTGGGAGGAATAGAGCCTGATTGTTATTGTCAGTGGAGAGAACTATGTCCAATAGATGGTTTCAGTGGGAGGAAGAGTATCATATTGTTGATGTCATTGGCAGGAATTATACCCCATTATTGGTGTCAGTGGCAGAAATAATACCTCAAGGGCCAGATAAAGGCAAGTAAAGGGCAGCATCTGGCCCCCAGGCTGCATTTTGGAAATCACTGATCTATAGCATCAATGTTGAATTGTAAAGGTTGTATATCCAGGTGGGAGTATACGGCTTGCAAAGCTGATCCCAGGTTATGAAAAAGTAAATTTTTCTTTGTTTAGGGTGAGGTTGTATTCCATCAGTCTGTGAAAAACATGATTAAAGATTACACTGTGTTCTTCTAGAGAGGGTGCATGGTTGAGGATATCAAATTGTTACATTATGTATTCCTGAAAAAACAGTGACCAATATTTTTTAAAATAGCTCCAAGCCAAGCATAGCCCAAACGACAAGTGTTCAAAGTGGAAAAGTCCCAGATGTGTGATAAGAGCTGTTAGGTTATTGGCCTGTAATGCAAGTAAAATTTGTAAATAGCCTTTACAGAGTTCTAGGTTAGTGAAGACTTTTAACCCATGGCATTGGGAAATTAAATTCTCTGTAGCAGGCAGTGGGTAAAAGTCTGGTATTCACACCAAATTTGTTGTGGGCAATGACTAGGTTGGAAAACCATGAGGAATAGACAACAGGTTTGAGAATAACCTCTGCAGCTCTTCCTCAACTGAATCTGCTCTAATTCATCCCAAAGGTGTTCTATTGGGTTGAGGTCAGGACTCTGTGCAGGCCAGTCAAGTTCCTCCACCCCAAACTCGCTCATCCATGTCTTTATGGACCTTGCTTTGTGCACTGGTGCGCAGTCATGTTGGAACAGGAAGGGGGCATCCCCAAACTGTTCCCACAAAGTTGGGAGCATGAAATTATCCAAAAAGTCTTGGTATTTTGAAGCCTTAAGAGTTCCCCTCACTGGAACGAAGGGGTCAAGCCCAACCCCTGAAAAACAACCCCACCCCATAAACCCCTCTCTACCAAACTTTACGCTTGGCACAATGCAGTCAGGCAAGTACCGTTCTCCTGGCAACTGCCAAACCCAAACACATCCATCAGATTGCAAGACAGAGAATCGTGATACGTCACTCCAAAGAACATGTCTCTACTGCTCTAGAATCCAGTGCTTTATACCACTGCATCTGACACTTTGCATTGCACTTGGTGATGTAAGGCTTGGATGCAGCTGCTTGGTCTTGGAAACCCATTCCATAAAGCTCTCTATGTACTATGCTAATCTGAAGGCCACACAAAGTTTGGAGGTCTTTAGCTATTGGCTCTGCAGACAATTGGCTACTTCTGCGCACTGTGCGCTACAGCATGCGCTGATCCCGCTTTGTCATTTTATGTGGCCTACCACTTTGTGACGGAGTTGCTGTTGTTCCCAGTTGCTTCCACTTTGTTATAATACCACTAACAGTTGATCGTGGAATATTTAGTGGCAAGGAAATTTCACGGATGGACTTATTGCACAGGTGGCAACCTATCACAGTACCATGCTTGAATTCACTGAGCTCCTGAGAGAAACCTATTCTTTCACAAATGTTTGCATAAGCAGTCTGCATGCCTAGGTGCTTGATTTTATATACCTGTGGCCATGGAGGTGATTGGAACATCTGAATCCAATGATTTGGAGGTGTGTCCCAATACGTTTGGCAATATAGCGTATGTGAGGCTTCCAGTAAAGTCCCACAGGTACTTTCTTTCCAGACACTGCCTATCAGGCATATTTCAGCATGTCTGAGCCAGAGCTTTAAATCCAAGTGCATGAAACATTAGGAGTTTACTCCAAATAGGCTTGCTCTATCTTGAGAGACAAAGTATAAAATGACCCAAATGCATGTTTTGGTGCCTGTAATGTTATCTTACTCAAGATTGAAATTTTATTTTTACTGTAGCCTTTCAGGGTTGTTGGTTTCATATGGAGTGGGTAAGGATGAAAATGGGTGTTGCATTCAAAATGCTAAATTTTGATCCTGAGTCTAACTGAAGCAGAAGTTTTACATTAGCATTTACACATTAGCATTAACTCTACAGTGATAGAGTTTAATTTGGTTTGGTCTGATCCTTCTGACTGCCTAAGCCTGCATGCTATCAGGCTCCTGATCAGCCTGCTCTACATTATGAACGATGTACTTGGGGTGGAACCAAAACATTTACCAAATTGGTTCAGTTCTTACATCGCCTGAACAGCCTCATTCCTTCCTTTATAGCGGTTAAGTGCCAGTTCTGTCTGCTACTTCATTTAGCATAAGTCATTTCTGAAACATTTTCCTGACATCAAGAGAAAAATGGTGACGGGGAGGGACCTCCAACAGATAGTCAGCCTCAGCTCTATTCCTGTGAGCTGTGTAGAGGGGGCGTGTCTCCTCCCTCCAATCAGCTTTCAGAACTCTCATCATTGAGCTCTTCCGTGTGTAATTTCAGGTCTCTGCCCCCTTTTTTTTGAACCTCAGACAAGCTGTATAAATTCAGCACTTTGAACGGATGTAGAGAGAGGACTCTGCAGATTTACAATTTACGTAGGAGGATTTGTTTCATCTCTGTATATCACCTGAGGCCAATAACTCCATTGGGTATATGTAAGGGTTTACAACAACTTTAACGCAATTTGCATTTGGTGTGTTGTCAAGTCAGTTTTTGTACTTGAACAGGAGCTTCATTACCCTCTATGGGGCATGGCTTAATACTGCCTTCATGCACAGTCATTTCCATCTGGCACCCCGAATCCACAGCTCTTTGCACAGTAAGTGCATTTGACTCCATAGGCTTTGGTCTTATAGTCTTTTCAGTAAGCTAGCCTCCTCCTTGGAGTGTCCATAGCTACAGGGTGCTGCTAACTGTCTCAACTCAACAACATAGTGATGTAAAAACTCTATCCTGACAGCGTCTGTGAAAATTAACTCTGGCCTTAGCAAAACCATCTTTTTCTTAGATGAGGCCCAATCCAGGCCAGATGCCAGTAAACAGATTGAAAATTTTTCATGCCAGAAATCACAGGGCACTGCACAAATTTCTCTGGAGGCTGCACACAGGGCCCAGGTGTCCTTGTCGCCACTATTGTATCTCAGAAAGGAAGACAGACTATTAACAGGTCACCATCTTTATTAATCACACAAAACGTCCTGCTCAACTTATACTATCTCTTAAAGCTAAAATTCAATAAAAAAATTTTAAAGGGCAATATACGGAACATAAATACACAACATGGTAAAGGTTGACCTACTGCAATAGTCAGTTAAGCTGGCCATAGGAGCCAAAAATCGAACATTCTGTTGACTGAAAACCAAAAATAGCTCATGCGATCATGTCATCATTTGCTTTATTTTTCTGGAAAAAAAAAAAATTCCAGCATAATCAGGCACTTTCAATTGTGGCACATAAATTGCGCGTCACAGTTGGCACATTAATGATGTGAAAAGTGAATGATTCAACAAGAATGTTCGTTCAGTTTTCCACTCATCTATGGCTGGCTTTGCTGGGGCAGGTTTGTTGAGATCAAACTAATTGTAAAAGTCTTGCTGACTGTGATCACCTTGTTCAACCACTGGGATGAAGGATGCAACCCAGCTTTTGCAGGAACTCTATTGAAGCTAGTATTGATCATGAAATCCTCTGCAAATAACTTTTTGTTCTTATGGATATTCCCATATGTACAGTATCCTAGCTAAATAAAGCAATATTTCTAAAATTTGTCTCAACCGCTACAGTAGCCAACATATTACCCATAAATGTCAGTGGGTGACTGTCAAGATATGTAACAGGTGGATGGTCTCATGCTAAAGGACATTTAATTTAATTGGAGAAAAGTCCATCTTCTGTATGAGATGTGTAATGCATTTTCAAGGTGTTGAACATAAAGTGGTACTAACCCCCAAAGCAAAAATGTAATATATTGCAGTTTACAATCATTAGATGTGGGGGCTACATCAGTTTTATTTTTAGGCTTTTCCCCCCCTCTGTTTTCACCTGGTGATCTGCCCAGTAACACAGCTCCAGCATTAGTGAGAAACCACTCTGAAGGAATGAGCACAGAGGGCACCTGTGGAGAGCAGCAGTGCCAGTCCAATGGGAGGGGAGTGTTGGATGTACTAGCAGATTTAAACACTAACAAGCTGAAACCAAACTCCAACTAATGCTTTATAGGCAGTTACAGCAAACAGTTGTTTTCCTTTTAGGATAAAGGTTTTACATAAATAAAAGCTGATCATCGTAAGCACCCCGCTAGTGCTAAATGGTTTGTCTTATATCTGTAACTGATACATTCTGCAGAGCTTGTTTTTTTGGGTGTGGGCTGAGCTGCATTGTGTGTGTCTATGGACACACAGAAGCCAAAATGTCCCCATAGCAAGTGGCTTGATACTGGGGACACTCAAAGGGAGAGAGAAGCCAGGAGTGCCAGAAGGGGACCCGAGAAGAGGTAGATCAGGGCTGCTCTGTGCAAAAACATTACACAAAGCAAGTAAGTATAACATGGTTGCTATTAAATAACTGAACCTTTAATACCACTTTAATGTACTATGTCCTGAAAAGGCTAGTTGACTAGCTTCTATGGGAATACGAACACTGACATCAATACTTTACTCAGACTTGTTCCAGATAAGAGATTAAAAGTAATAAAGAAGGTGGGGGCAGCATAATAAGCAAGCAACTAGCATTTTTAGAAGGAGGTTACAAACTGTGACCTCCACACTTTAAAGCTATAGAGTGAGCAGGACAGCCAGGCAGCTAGTTAGAAAGTACTCAGTATGGACCAGAATGTATACTGAAATGTCAGTGATATCTTTGGGAACAACTCTTATTCACAGTTATTTATATCTCCTAGCTGCAAAGCGAAAAAAGTGCATGTGCTCTTCGGGATGCCTGTGCTTTTGCTATGATAGGGACCAAACTGAATTTGTCACATTTCTTTTTAAGCTGTGTGGTTCTTAAGTTTTCGCAATTTAGTTACAAAGTCTTCAGTGACCTTTTGAATTCTCTGTTGCAGCACCAGTTTTTTTTGCTACAAAGGTCATCAAGGCACACTTTAAATCTTGTGTGGCAACCTCTAAACCAGATCTCTGATTTTGGCTGCTGTCAAGCTGTGACAGTGAAAAGGACTCTGAAAAGGAAAGGTTGCAGGTCTGTGAAAGCGGAGTTGTAGAAAATTGAAAGAAGGCTGTGTAACAGTGTGACACTGCTGATAGTGGCTAATTGGCTTGGAGGGTCCTATGGCAGGAGCAATGAGACTGATGATCGATACCTGAAGCAAAGCTAAAGTCTGAACTGGATATCAAAGCATTAGTACAGACAAACTGAGATAACAGAGTATTCAGTATCATCTGTACATGGTGGATTGCTCTCCGCAAGATGCCAATCCTGGAAATGCCTTGTTTTTATTTATAGTCTCTGGTGATGGGAATCAAACTATGGGGCAGATCAACTACCCCACAGCAAGGCCCTTGAAAGTGCCTAGCTGTAAACAGCAGAGTACAGAGGTAGCAAATGAGTGAATGGAATTGGAAAGCAGACAATGACATAACCAGGGTAACAAAGTCCAGGGACACAGGAAACCCCCCTTGAGAAGGTGGTAGCCAATGGCAATGCAAGACAAACTAGGGCATATTTCTATACTGGTAAAGTAATCTTCACCAATATAGAAATACACTACACAATAAACATACCTTATGCTTCTCGAAATATCCTGTGAACCTTTTTGTACACCTTTGGCGGCATATCTAGAATAAAACATATTTACTATGAACAGCAATATACCAATTAACCACTTGCCTACAGAGCACTTATACCTCCTTCCTGCCCAGGCCAATTTTCAGCTTTCAGCGCGGTCGCATTTTAAATGACAATTGCGCGGTCATGCAACATTGTACTCATATGAAATTTGTATCATTTTTTTTCACACAAATAGAGCTTTCTTTTGGTGGTATTTAATAGCCGCTGGGTGTTTTATTTTTTGCACTATAAACAAAAAAGTGCAAAAAAAAAAAAAGTTTTCCTTTGTATCCATTATAAAATCAGGTAATTTTTCTCCTTCACTGATGTGCGTTGATGAGGCTGCACTGATAGGCGACAATGATGGGCACGGATAGGCAGCACTGATGGGCAGTGATGAGGTGGCACGGATAGGCAGCACTGATAGGTGGCGCTAATGAGCTGGCACTGATAGATGGCACAGATGGGCAGCACCGGTGGGTGGCACTGAAGGGCACCGGTGGGTGACACTGCTGGGCACAGGTGGGTGGCACTGCTGAGTGGAACAGGTGGGTGGCACTGCAGGGCATGTGGGTGGCACTGATGAGCACAGGTGGGTGGCACTGATGGGTACAGATAGGCGGCACTGCTGGGAACAGGTGGGCGCCACAGGTGGGCAGAACTGCTGAGAACTGATCATCAGGGCACTGATCATCATGGCCTGATGATCAGTGCCGATCCCTTCGCTGACAACTGCCAGTTCTCGGCAGTACTTTCCTCACGCTGTGACAGCGCACTGTAGCCGTCCTTTGGCTATAGCATGGTTGGGAACCGGTTAAATTATGACTGGGGGAGCATATAAACTTATGTTGGCCAT